ATCCTGCTTACGACGGTCCTGTGGCCGCTGAAAAGGGAGGAGGGCCAATCGTGTGCCCCCCTCACTAGTTCAGTGACACAGAGCTCTTCTTCAGGTGGGGTGTGGATTTTTCACACCCCTGAGTGCCACCGCTGGGTCACCCTCAGTTTTTAGTGTAGAGGAAACCGAAACCTCCTCCGTTCCTGACATGGAGCCAGCGGAGAAGATAAGCTGTGGTCACACAGCTGGGGCGGGAACAGCACCCAGTGTCCTACCCCGCAGTGCCCGAGCTCACCCCTTGGGGGCAGCACTAAGGAATAACAACCCTTGTAGGAACAGACGTGCCTTCCCAAGCATCAGAGGGGTGGCCGTGTTAGTCTGAATCTCCAAAAGCGGCGAGGAGTCCTGTGGCACCTTATAGACTAACTGAAGTGTAGGAGCATAAGCTTTCGTGGGCAAAGACCCACTTCGTCAGATACATGTAGTGGAAATTTCCAGAGGCAGGCATAAATATGCAGGCCAGAATCAGGCTGGAGATGACGAGGTGGATCCAATCAGGGAGGATGAGGCCCATTTCTAGTAGCTGATCTGGAGGGGTGAATTCCAAGAGAGGAGAAGCTGCTTTTGTAGTTAGCGAGCCATTCACAGTCTTTGTTTAATCCAGAGTTGATTGTGTCCAACCTGAAGATGAACTGTAGCTCAGCAGTTTCTCTTTGAAGTCTGGTCCTGAAGTTTTTTTGCTGCAGGATGGCTACCTTTAGATCTGCAATTGTGTGTCCAGGAAGTTTGAAGTGTTCCCCTACAGGTTTTTGTATGTTGCCATTCCTAATATCTGATTTGTGTCCATTGATTCTTTTACGTAGGGACTGTCCAGTTTGGCCGATGTATGTAGCAGAGGGGCATTGTTGGCACATGATGGCGTATATTACGTTAGTAGATGTGCAGGAGAATGAACCAGTAACCCAAGCTCTGGGTTAAAGACGCTACTGATCCTCATGGGGGCCCTAGGTTCGGCTCTCTGGCTAACGTCCCCAGAGGAGGCAGCGGTGATTGGTTATCGAGCTTGTCTCCGAAAAGGGGCAAGACAGCGCCTGCTCCAGAGAGGCCAGGGTCTAGAGCGGCAGCTGTGCTGTGGGGTGGGGACTGACACTGACAATGCAGCACGGAGCCTCAGTCCTGGAGCAACACTGGCAAAGAGGCCTGCAAGGGCAGCGTGCACTGTGTAGGCGCCAATGTTCCCTCTAATTTTTCCATCCACGTGCAGAATAAAGTTTGTTCTGTGCACCAAGTCATGTGCAGATGTGCACCACCCATAGACACACACGCTGCTAGCTGGGGGCAGCAGTGGGTGCTCTGCTAATCAGCTGAGTGGCATTTGAATCTCTCCTGGGTGGCTGCCCAAGTGCTCAGCTCACAGAACACTGGTAGGCCCCCATCCATACCTGCCTCCGGCTGCTGCTATTGGCCTCGTCCTTCAAACTGATGCCGAAGAGAAAGAAAACATTCTTCCGTCGGCTGGGGCGGGCGACAACAATGTGCAACTCGCCTTCCGCCAAGTACAAGACAGCAGCAGCTCCCGGCCGTGGCTTCCCCACGGAAAGCTGCCTGGATCAAGGACAGCGTGCCAAGTGCCACCTGGGGAGTCAGCAAGGTACAAATAACCCTCTCGCTAGGATGCTGACGGCTGCACCATCTGCTCTCTCCGATCCCTGACACCCTGCGCTCCTTTATGAGCCTCATTTGGATATTTATTTCCAGGCTGTTTATTTTAGGGAATGGATTTTTCCACCCTCCTGGGGATTTATGAGGCTGTGAATGATTTTTCTTTGTACCCCTCCAAGACCTGCTTTGGGAAGTGAACTTCCAACCACAATGGGAGTTTCAGCCCCTCTTGGGGTTAATCACCTGGCTCTTTGGTCCAAACGGCTCTTGGTTTCCTGCATTCTCTTGTCTCTTCGATAAGTGACGAAGGAGGTGGGGGGAAATTGCTAGCAGTTCAGTGCCGCCAAGCTCTCCAACAAACCAGAGCAGAGGTTATTGACCCCACCCCACCCCTTCTTTTGCCTTTTTTCTGCTCCCGTCATCGTTACTTGGTAACTGACACGTGGTAAAAGACAGGCCACTGCCCATCAATAGCTCGCTGCATGGTATACCTCACACGATCCATGCACAGATCTCAAAGCACTTTGCAAAGGTTGCATCCCAATACCGGTGCCCCTCCCCAGGACAGCTCGGAGGCCTCGTTAGCCCCAGGAAGTCAACTCATGAGGCCGGGGGGAGGGGAGGCTGTCTGTGCAGTTTTCTCAGCGGGGATCACTTTCCATTTCACAGCCATCAAGACTTTCCAAGTGACATGTTGGTCCGATCGGTCCTGCAGTAGGCAGTTCCAGAGGGAGCATCAGCACGTGTTTGTTCCCCCACATGACTGGGTTTATTGTCTTAAACGTGGTGCCAGGGAGGTTCCCAAATAAATCAGGATGCAATCAAGAAATTAGGCCTCACAACACTTGGGTCAAGGGAGAGCATTCTACGGAAGTGGAAGTCAAGACACAGGGAAGTAAAGTGACTCAGAGCCGGACCCTGCACCCGCTGCTCCCACAAAGCATCTTGCTGAAGTCAGCGGGTCTGCTCCCGTGAGCAAGGACTAGTCATGGGAGCATGCACGCAAGGCCGGCCCTTCCCGTGTGTCCCAGAGCTGGGAATCAACTGGCTTGGGAGTTTTGGTGGTTCCAAGTCTCCTCCACTGCCCTAACTGTGTCACCTGCATAGGCAGGGGGGCTAGAAGTGCGCCCAAAGGAAACCGAGTCAGGATGGAAAGGCACATTCGACCTGATGGCTCTCCTGGGGGAAAACAATATGGCCTCTGGAAAGAGAGGTTTTTTCTCTCCAATCCCCGCTTTGCTCCGGAAACTGTCCATGGTGTTTTCTCCCCAAAGAGCCTGAACAGGCAAAAGGAAACTCTCCAAAGCGGAGATGCAGACGTAGCGAGAGCTGATGAGATTTCCCTCCACTGGGAAAACCTTGCCTTTGTGGTTTTCCACCTTCACCCAGCCCCACTGCCTTGCTCCACGCCAGCCGGCTATGGGGTTTGCGAGTTCCAACGGCCCTTGTGAAATCCATGCGAAATGCCCTTTTCTGCCCCCTCGAGTCGCCTCTACAAAGAAGCCGCATGTGCTGCCAGCGCCTGCTAGGAACGGAAAGACTTGAGACCTGGCTACAGGGCAGGCGTGAGACTTGGGAGACAGGCCAGGGGCAGAGGGACACAAACTAGCGTCGAGGGACAGTCCAGCATCTGCTGCACTTTTGAACAGAGCCGGCTTGGTGAAACCCACCTGGGCTGGCTACGGGCTTATCTCCCTTCCTGGCCAGTGCCTGTTGCAGCTTGCCGGGGAAACCCAGCCCCCTCCGTGGGGATGCCAGTAATTCGAGGCCCTTCTGCCTGGTCCTTCCTCTGTCTGTGGGGCATGCCTCTCTCTCTGACTGCTTTCCCTTTCT